GTGTGTGTGTGTGTGTGTGTGTGTGTGTGTGTGTGTGTGTGTGTGTGTGTGTGTGTGTGTAAGGAAATCACTGCTAATAAGGAGATACATCAGAAAGGAAGGAGACCTTGATGGGGAATATCATAGAATGTAGGGCGTTGTATCTGTGTGTATAGCGCATGCATGCATGCATGCGCTGGATGCTAGCAGCAAGTGCTTTGTCTGCATGCAGCACGTGCTGCAGCAAAGGCAGAAGTCATTTTTTTCTATATTACCATAAGAAAGTGAAGGTGCGGCTTAGCTTGCAGTCTAAAACTCTAAACCCTTGTATAAAAAAACCCTAATATTAAATAAACAAACCCTAACACTCAAGTCTTAGCCATAGGATCGGGACAGTTCTATTACCTGCTCCCTCTGGGACCTCGGGTTTAGGGTTTAGGGTTTAGGGTGTGCGCTAGAAGCAGAGTAAAAACACTGCATTTCGAGTACTTATGGTTAAGTGGGGAGGTGTGGGTGCCTGCAGCAGTATTAGAGTGTCCTCCTGTTGCTGCTGCTGCGGTGGCAACATTGGTGTGGCCCACAGAGCAGCAGTAACAGAAGCAGCAGCAGCAAGGAAGAGCAGTATCAGCCGTTAGAGCTGTCGGGTCTTTTACACACTAAGGATAAGGCTTGTGGCAAGAACAAGCAGAGAAGAAGCAAAGGGTTAGCAAATATGCAGTAGAGGCATCTGGTGTATCGATCGGCTGCTGCTGCTGCTGCGGCTGCTGCTGCTGCTGCGGCCCACAGCAGGAGCAGCAGCAACAGCAGCAAATGCTATCGCTTCACAAAAGCGAAGGCCAGTCGTTTTAGGCTACATTGTTTCGTACTTAGTCCCCTACTGCAGCTTGTTTTACTTAGATATTGCCATAGTTCCTCCCGCAGCAGCGGTAGCAGCAGCAGCAGCAGTAGAAGCAGCAGCAGCAGCAACAGCAGCAGCAGCACCCTCTTAGGGATTTGTTGTGGCAGCCTGCTGCTGCTTCCTGTAGCTGCCCGTTGCCCCGTTGCAAGGCATTATTGTTTTCGTTTGTTTTTTTGTCTTTTTTTTCTTTTATCGAAGTTGCTGTTGCAGCACAGCAGCAGCAACAGCAGCAACAGCAGCAGCAGTGCTTCCTGGGTGCTGCTCTGTTGCCCCTCCGCCGAGTGACCCCGCAGGCCTTTGTCGCTGTCATTTGTTTTTCTTCTCTTTGTTTCATTTGCATCTATTATCCCTTGTTGTTTCCTCTTCATTTAGTAGGCATTCTTGCTGCTGCTGCTGCAGAAGCGAGCATTCAGCCGCTGCTCCCGCTCGGCAGGAGAGACCTGCTGCCAGCAGCAGCAGCAGCAGCAACCCACAGCTGCACCTCTCACCCCCCTGGATTCTGCTGTTGCAACACCAAAATGAAGGCAGCAGCAGCAGCAGACTCAAGCCGCAGCAGCGGCACTCCCCCGGATGCGCAGCAGCCTGACGCTGCAGCAGCATCACAGGGACCATTGCCATCAGAAGCAGAAGCAGCATCAGCAGCTGCAGCAGCACCTCCATCACCTCTTACCCCCTTTAATACGCAGCAACACACACAGCAGCAGAAAGAGTTTGCAGCAGCGAACGTGTACAGTCCTGCTTCTCTGTGGCTGCTTTCTCCTAGTTTAAGCGGGGCATCAGCAGCACCTGCAGCTGCAGCTGCAGGAGCAGCAGCAGCAGCTGTTAGTGCGCAGCAAACTGGAGCAGAAGGATGTAACTCAGGCGCGCAAGAAGCCCCCTTCTGGCAGCAGCAGCAGCAGCACATGCTGCTGCAGCATGACAATGCTTTGGAGCTCCAGTTCCCGAAGCTAGTGCAGCAGCAGCTGCAGCAGCTGCAGCTACAACAGCTGATACAGCTGCAGAAGCAGTTGCAGCAGCAGCTGCAGCACCAAGCTCTGCAGCAGGCTTCGCAGCAGCAGCAGCAGCAACTGCTGCTGCGCGCACAGCCAGACAGTAGAAATAGTACAGCTCATGAGTGCGAACAAAATTTACTGCTGCAGCAGCTGCAGCAGCTGCTGCAGGGAGAAAGGATGGAGGGCGCAGCGTATATGCCCTCTAGCTTCCCCCCTAGCAGCAGCAAGCACGCAAAGAAGCAGCGGCAGCAGCGGAGGCAGCGGCAGCATCGGCGTAGGCATCAGCAGGAACAGGAACAGCAGCAGCAGACGCAGGGAGCGGCACACCAAGAGCAGCAGCATATACAGCAGCAGCAGCACGACTCACAGAGGCGGGAGGAGCAGCAGCAGGAGCAGCAGAGGCAGCAAGCATGCGCTGCAGCAGAAGAGGCCCTCCTTATGTTAGTAGATGCTCCAGCTGCTAGCGGGTGGCGTAGTCAGCAGCAGAAGCAGCAGCAGCAGCAGAAGCAGCAGCACAAGCAGAAGCAGCAGCAGCAAAAGCAGCAGCAAAAGGACAGTGTGGGTCAGGAGGCAGAGCAGCTGGACCCACAGCAAGCGCTGCAGCAGCTGGTGGTGATGCCGCAGCGGCTGCAGCAGCTGCAGCAGAAGCAGCAAACTGGCGGCAGCGGCAGCAGCGGAAAGCAGGGCTTTAACAGGAGAAGCAGCAGCACACTGAGCAGCAGCACAGCAGCAGCAACAGGCAGCTGCAGCAGCACGGGTGGCCGCAACAGCACAAGCAGCTTAACAGCATCTGCTGCTTCTATGCCTGCTGCTGCTGCTGTTGTTGTTCCTGCTCTTGTTTCTGGGAGCAGCAACAGCAGCAGCAGCAACAGCAGCAGCAGCGCAACGGGTGAGGCTGGTGATGTATCGGATGTGCTTCCTTTGCTGCTGGGCATGTCTTTGGGTACTAAGGCAGCAGCAGCAGCAGCTGCTGCTGCTGCTGCTGCTGCTGCACCACCACCACCACCAGGATCCGCGAAGGGTCCCTCTTCCTCTTCTTCCCCCGGGCATTCATTCCCCTCTGGCCGTAGCCACAGCCACGCCACCCCCAGCAGCACCAGCAGCAGCAGCAGCAGCAGCGGCAGATCACGTCCTTCTTTATCTCTTCCTTCGCTGCAGCAGCGCATGCAAAAAACAAAGATGTGCCGCTTCCATTCACAGGGCTGCTGCAGCAAGGGGCCCCTGTGTGTCTTTGCTCATGATGAGAAGGAATTAAGAGAAAGACCTAACTTATTAAGAACTCGTCTTTGTCCTTTTATGCTGCTGCAGCAGCAATCAGCAGCAGCAGCAACAACAACAACGGCGGGTGGGGGTCCACCCAAGGATGGGGGGCCCCCACCCCCTCCTGGTGTTCCTGCAGAGGGGGGATCGGGGGGTGGGGCCCCACACCAAGTAGTTGGGGGCCCCTCCTCCGCCGCCCAGCAACAGCAGCAGCAGGTGCAGCTGGCGCAGCAGCAGCAGCAGCGGGGGCCCCCCTACTGCAGCAGGGGGGATGCATGCAAGTTTGCGCATTCAATTGAAGAGCTTCGTTCTACACCCGAGTTTTTTAAGACTGCTGTTTGCCCCCTGCATGCAGCAGGGGGCCCCCAAGGGTGCCCATCAGGGGCCTCCTGTAGGTTTGCCCATGGGGAAGCAGAATTAAGACCGAGGCCCCACACGGGGCCCCCTAGTCATAGACAAAGTGCAGCAGCAGCAGCGGCGGCAGGGGCGGCGGGGGCGGGC